TTGAAATTGCTTCATTATCCCCACTGCGCGCCCAAATCCGTCTATACAGGCGACTACTCGGATCGAAAACACCAATAAGAATTGACAGCCGTGATACGTGCCTTTTAGTCAAACATAATTTAATCACATTTTACAGCCAAACTTAAATGACAAAAAAAACCAAGTACCACGCTTCTCCTGATAAGGAAAGTAGCCCGACTCAAATAACTAAACGCTTCTCGTTAAGACTCATCCTCGAACAGTAATTATTTTGATCAGTTATTTCGATGCATTTAATTGGGACAATTGCTTGGCGCGCGTGGTAGGGTAGTAGTCCCCCGAGCGCCTTGAGCGGAACTGGCAAAATTTAGGCGTTTTTTCAAACGGATAATTTAACCCCTTAGCAAACTCATACTTGGATGTTTAAAAGCGCGTTTTAATCGTTGAAATCTTAGCTACAAGGTGGATAAATATGAAACATCTATTTCATCGCTTTCCTAATGAAAAATGGCGGGGAAGCTTCGGGTGCGCTTGCGAAATCTCGAGATCTGCGTCACGGGATCATCTCCGAGAACAATAATTTTGTGAGAATCTGCAGTATCGTTAAAGATGATATCACACAGAAACTGGACCAGATTGGCCGGCGCGTTCGGAAGTTATGGCCCTTTACGTGTTTTCACTTCCAGGGGGTGTAACTCCCCCTAGAGTGATCCTACAGGGGTTCAATGGGGGTGTTTTTTTAATGCCGAAGGATGCCCTCTCTCGTGCCCTAATGAGAAATATGAATTTCCTTCCGGAACTATTAGATCTCGAATTTTTCAAAAAGTTCCAAAATGCACTTTTTCACTCCATCCCCTGCCATTCGGCCATTTTGTATCCGATCGGGATAAAACCTTTGCCATTCGAACGGGAAGGAAATTTCCTAAAAAATATTTCTTGGGTTTTTCGAAATCTGGCATACGTTCACAGAATTGTAAAGAAATTCAAGTGTTGCACTTCAATTGGACGTTACTCTATATGCATCTAGCCACCTTTTACCGTGCACCCATCTATAACCTATGGCTGTTAAACAGACCCTCAAAGCCAGTCGACCCGGCAGCTACAATATTATCTACCATCTGCGCATAAAGACAAAAGGCGAAGACGAACGACATGATGAAAAAAAGCTGCCGATGGCGCAAGCAGCCAAGGACGACAGTGGCGGATTCAGAAGCACAGCCAATAATAAGACTAAGTGGCATCGGTTAATTGCTAAGATTCGCTTGCTCGGCCGGTGGGTTGCGCAAAGAATGGAGTGTGGGATGAGAGTGCTATACGGTAGCCAGAAGAGATCTGCTATCTGGACCCTGGTAGGACCGGAGGTATCTCTTAGCTTCACACTACCTCCATCGACACCCGCTCTCTACGGCCACTTTGCAGACCTCTTCTGGGTCCTCTACCTCTTTACCATCCATCTCTTCCACGGAGTGGCTGGGACTACCTATACGGTGGAGAAGAGGACTCGTTCGCACCACGCGCCCTGGTTAAAAAATCAGCGCCTCTACCACTAATTAATTTACATAGCAGAGCGAGGAGAGGCTCTCAAGACTTCTCTCCCACACCTCGCTGGAATCTCCAGATCTCTCGGTCAGATCCTTCAAGACCAGCGGACTTTAGATCGTGTATCGATCATTGTATAAGACAATGACGTATACGATATAAAAGAAATAAGACGGACGTCAAGTCTAATCAGCGTAGACAATCGTGCAAGATAATTAACAGCATCCTCGATTGCTTTTAATGAGTTTCTTGGTAGGAGCGACGCTAAAATTAATGCATTGTATAGAAAACGAAGATTTGGAATAAGAAAAAGTCAGTCGGTTTGCAAAGTCGTGTTTAACGAGTCCCGTGACTCCGGTCAGTTTCAGGGCTTTTGTATGCCTACCTTATACCCAGCAATGTGGCGATGTAAACGGGAGAGGAACTCAGAGTTGGAAATCGTGAAATAGCCGGTAACGACGCAACAGGGTAAAGCACGGACCCCCAGGTATCAGGGCATCGCGCGACACTCTGGGAGAACTTCGAAAAGATCCGGAGACTCTGACAATGAATACCTATTAAAACGGTGTGAACAATGCGCCTGGGTTGCTACCGTTTGCCGGTTGCTGAACGTGTACTAAGCAGGGGCAACCTCGTGCCCGGTGATATACTGCGAGATGCGCGATACGACGTGGTTCGCAGCCTCGCAACTTGCCTCGCAGCCTCAATCCGGATTCGTGGCCGTGCTTTGGCTTTCGCTTGCATACGCTATTGCTGATATCTCTAATCTGCAATTCTCTCTCTCTCTCTCTCTCTCTCTCTCTCTCTCTCTCGCACACACACACACACAATCTCTTGTCCAAGTTTCTCTCGCGCGAATGATCTGCTTCTCATGCTGTGCTCTCTCTCTCTCTCTCTCTCTCTCTCTCTCACACACACACACACACACTCCTTGCCACGGTATTCCACTCGCCATTTCCCTTATTCCCACCCCCCTGCTCGCTTTCTTCCCTCCTGCCCTGCGGCTGATACTGATGTCCCTCTGTCTCGCTCTGCACCTAGTCGACTGTCGTCTCTTACAGGAAGTACTGGAGATCATTGCTGTGCGTCCCTCGCGACATCTGGGTTTCACCTCGTGATCGTCAGGACTCGAAGTAAACACGGAAGAGGCGCGAATAAGGAAACTGTTTTACGGTATGAGAAACCTGAGGAATCGATCCAGGATCCTGTGGGATGCTGCTGGAATCCGAGTGAAGATGGAGCCTTGCACCTTTGCACGATCCCTCGAGCGTGCCTGGAGGTTCTATCAGAGACACACGGCTCGGTAATTGCTACTTAAATTAAGGTTAATTAGTAATCGGAGGGTGCATCTGTGTCGTAACTCCTGGCGCAGGAATAGAAAGCCGCCTTAAGCTTGGGTATATATGATGTATCCTTGGTTGCAATTAGTTCAAAGTTATCACTGCCCTCGATTATATCGGTTAATCAATTAAAAACGGTCCAACCCATTTCACGGATCTATGCGTAAACGTTCCTTCGGTTATTCCGACCTGTGTCATATATGAAAGTTTGCGTATGAAAGTTTGTGTACGCAATACTCATCTACGCGTTTGCGAAAAGGCGTGCGTGCCTGCGCACATCGGCAATTACTGTGAATTACGGAATTACCGCGATTTGGTGTTGCAAGTCGAATCGGAACGATTTTGTCTGTTATCGGAGTCACGTGAAGCCTCCGAAAATACGCATGGTCAACCTGTCGGTAAATAAGTATTGCTTTACCACTTTTAACTTTACGCACTGCCGGTGCGCAACCACACGAGAAATTTACGTATAGGAAAATTGAAAGTCGTTACGACATATTCGCAATGCTGTTATTTCTGCCGTTTCTCCTTCTTTGTCACGTATAGCTATACCTATGTGCATCAGCCTACGCACAGCGTGAATATAGATATTCGTGGAAATTATTGCTGACGTATCGAGGCATCGCGATTTATTCGATTCTCTCGATATTATTTATACGCATTCACCGAGTGCCGTTTCGCTTATGAATGGATTCGCTCACGAAGGTGCACTTCATTATGAAGGTTTTATTGTCAGCTGCATTCCTATGCACACGTGATACACGTTGCATGTTACATTTTGTGTTTCTTTAATAGCGATTGGCAGCTTGTTAGTTTCTTGCGAATTTAACTTAACGAGATTTATTTCGCGGGTTCATCTATCGCGATACTGATTTCACGGGCTAGAATAAGGTAATTTTTATACGATAGCTACACGTGTTATGGGTTACCGTGGGATTTTCGTAAAGTTCGTAACCTGCGAGATGAGCAAGGCGTGCATTGTTTTCGGCCCGCTATTGTTTCCAGGAGTGTAACGAGTGTGTTGCGTGCCCTGTGGGCTTTCTCGCCCACGGAAGCACAGAAATGTATACTGGATTCAGATTAGCGGTACAAAAGCATGGCCTGCGGCTTGCCTAATTCCGTTTATGCCCGAGATACAGCTCTTTGCAACACTTTGTATCCAAGATATCATTATCGTTACAGGGCGTTTCAAACGTTGGTGCTACGGACGGATAAAGATATTAGCCTGAGATTGTTCATAGGTTCTTTTTATGATTTACTCGGAATATTTCTTGATGCTGTCTTCGCTATGGCTCAATCTAAAAAGCTTTTGTAGTTGGTATACCATTGTGTTCAAAAGCGAAGTAACGAATTTTAAGGGGAGTAGAGAAGAATTTTAAATTTGGTTTATTAAAGTATGGGGTTATGGTTATTTTTTGCGAACGTTTGAACAAAATGTTGTGGCAGCATTAGTTCCGGTACTGTTAGGTGAATCGATCGTTAGACATATATGCAAAGATAAATATCTAAATTTCATGCATGTTAAGTGATAACTAAATTTTCAGCTATGCGAAATTTGAATACGATTTAACGTATGGCTTTTGAGATATAAAAAACGAATTGCTAATTTTTTTCATACAAACACGTTATACACGTGGATATGAATAATAAATAATTTAGAAATAAAACATGATAAATAAATCATATATTATAGCTCAAAACATTGCTTTTTTTTCAGAACTTCGCTAATTAAATTTTGGAATTGAAATTTTGAATTTTTTTACTGATTGTTTATCAATAATTATTTCTGTTATCAGTATGAAGATCAAAGTACCTTAAAATTCTCAGAATCGTAACTAAAAAATAAAAAAAAAAACTAAATTATTAACGTCCTTTAAAAAGTAGTTACTAAAATTCTTTAATTATTTTCTGATTGTTACGAAAAAAAAAAATTATTGTAAGACATAAAAATAATTTCGAGCCTTTTTTGTGATTATTCTGTTAAGTTTGAAATGTTTTGGATTCTCTTTACGATCGGGATCTATTAATATCCCTGAATCTCTTATACTTCCCTGCTAAGCCCTACGAGAGAAATGTTTGAGTAATAAAAATGAAAATTATTACATATCCACGCATCCACGAATTTTAATCCGACTGACTTACCCTGGAAGTAGCTCTTGGTTCTCAGATAGCTGACGCTAAGCCTCAGGATGCTAAGTCGGTCCAATTTGCTCAAGATGTTCTGCTCAAAAGGAAGTAACGAAGCAAGGGTGTCCAGTTCGGCATTTAATCGTTCCCGATGTCGCTTACTGGGATTTGACTTGGTTACTCCGTCCTTCTGCGGTGGTTTCAAGCTATAAAAGAAAAGAAGAAATCAATCAGTTAGTTTCCGTACGTCACTAGAATTTTTATGAAGTGGGCAGTGACGGCCGCGTCGCGACGCGTGACACCGTCAACATTAGACGGCCATTTGCATTAATACACCGAACGGCTGGTTACGGGGCTCGTTTTTCTTTTTTTTTTCTTTTTTTTTAAAAGAAATAACTTCTTACGTGGAAATGGCGTTTCGGCAAAGCTTCGAAAAATCTCTGGGAATTTTCAGAGAAAAGCCATAAAACATAATTTGAATCACGTCACGTTTCCGTAATATTTTCAAATCATCAGACATTAACAGTGACCGACTTTCCGTCGACACAAGTGCCGTCTAACGTAAGTACCGTCATAAGAGATGTAACGAGCTGCTCAAAAATAGGCGTGGAATCGGCTTGTATTAATTTTTAATTATGGAAATCCCCAGTACCGCTACATGAGTCAAATCGTTAAACATATTTGTGTATAAATGATGCGTACCGCTGGGTTATTATGCCGATTATGAATACAAGAAAGAAGGATTTCGACAATTAAAAGTGGTCGAGAACTGCGCTGACCGAACGACCATGCTGATTGACATGGGGACTTATGGCGGTTCGTTATATGAAAATCGTATTTGGACACGGATACTCCAGCTCATAATTTTGACATTTTATACGGTACCAAGTTACTCGATTCGGTGTAAACTGTTCGAGTTATGAGTAGTTAGCCAGCGATGAGTGACAGCTATCGCTACTTCGAGGTGGCCTTGCCGGTAATATTACAATGGCGTAGAGATAGCGATCCCTGTCAATATTTCAGTTTGATCGCAGTATATCTGTCTATACAGCGAGTCCATGCAATTCCGACTGTTTGTACTACTGTGCGTAGCCGCTAGATTCACTTTTGAGCGACCAGAATCCCCAGTCATTGGATTACACAAGCTGTACGACGAACAATAATTATAACAGTACAAAGCCTTCTTGGTCAGGTATCGCCAATGGCGAAGGCAGAAAGTTCACGTGTCGATAGATACTTTCTAATCGACTTGTTGCAAGGATCGAAGACGTTCCAATAAATAATTTCAAATAAGTGCCTGACTACGCCACTGTGTAACTTATGAAATTAATATGCAAAATATAATTTTACGCGTCGGCTTTGGACTGTTTGTTTAATTGAAGCGTTCCCCGTGGGAATGAGACTTCGCGAGAGAATACGGAACTTGAACGTCAAAGAAGCCGCTAGTTTGCCATTGGCAAGCCCATACTTACGAACAATTATTATTCTTACGTGTACGCAATTTAACGGGTAGCGTGGAATGCGAGTGTAATAAAATTAATGAAAAAAGCCACTAAAAAACTCCTGTAGTTGGAGACGCTTTTTACCCTCGTTCATTATTATAACAGTGTTAATGGGACGTTTGCCAAGTACTTTCCCATAATGAATAATAGCTTTTTCACTTTGGGAATCTTCGTCGACTTTCCTTAAACCACTCGTACTACTAATCGCAAGCACAGGACTGGCAAACATGCAGAGCTCAGTAAACCCTTGTGGTCATTGGACATACGAAGCGTTTCCAGGAGACCATCGACTTCTTCCTCTTGAGCGCCGGGACTATTCCGACTGTCTCAAGTAGCAAAATCGTCAAACGATTTTAGAAAAAAGTCTAACGGCTGTCGGTTAAAATATTCGGAGAAAAAAAAGAAAAAGACTATTCCTCCTCGAGACGGTAGCTTCGACCCTTCGCGTCCTCCTACGTGGACGGTAGGTTTTTCGTTCTCGCCTTCGGAATAATTAGCTTTGTTTTGCACGCTGCTAGAGGAAGAACAAAAGCGTAGTGCCGCTTCGTCCTAATGGTGTCCGAATGAGACTGTTCCAGGACCTCAGTCGCTCCTCGTCGCGGTAATGGATTTTGTGTCATCTAATAATTAATAGAGTTCTCCAAGAGTGCGCGGTCGGGACGCACCGTATACGACCGCAGCCTCATTCATCACGCTTTCTAACCCCTAAGCATTTTAATTAAACGCAGAATTTTTACAGTCGTTCAGCATATTTTACTCCCGTTGGATACGTCGACGATGCTTTTACGCCTGCGTCTTCTACGGGACGACGTCACCTCGAATGGTACTTTCACGAGCTTCGCGATCGACTCACGTTGAAAAACCCGCAACTGAACGACACCATAGGCGCGACGATAATGCTAACAATTAATTACTGATATGGATACCACACAGATAGCTAATTACTTTCCGAGCGGCACCTGTGAAAAAAATGGATGATCCTTAATGACGAGCGGGGAAATTTTTGGAGTTTTCGGATCGTTTGGCCGACGGAGCATTAATGTCTCAAGACGGTCTATGAGAAGAGTACAAAGAAGATATTCGGGGGCAAAAAAAGACAAGGGAGAAACGAAGGGAGAAGACTTTTTCTCGAGCCGACGCTAAGGCGGACTGGAAGAAACGAAGAAAAGGGAATAAAGGACGGTACAAAAACTAACTGAGAGAATGAGGAAAAGCACGTGATGTGGACTCTTAAGACTTTTTTCTGCTGGATTGCGTCGCGACGTTATCTACGCTCGAACAAAAGCAGCTACCATCTTTTTGTACGAGACGGACGTGCTAAAATCCCTGCTCCACGGCTATTGGCTCAGTGTGTTACGTTACTTGCCAGAACTGTTCGAGCTTAGTGCTCGTTCGGCCAGGTGAGGTACTCGGCGAAAGAGAAGCAATGAGTACAGCAAGGGGCAAAAAAACTCGACGAAGAAAGAAAGGCAAAGATAGAGAATGAAAGAAGGGCAATAAATATTAATAAGGGTCTACCACTGTGCGTATCGATCGTCCCTGATTCACGTGGTCAAAGGCCGGATAGAATCGATCGGTTTTACCCGACGACCTCCGCAATAACAACCTCGTTATTTGTACAGACTCGCGCCCCTTTTTTACATTTCCAATCGTTCTAATAATCGTTAAAATATTCGCAGTGATTTCGACGATACAATTTATTTGGAATATGTTACGAAAAGGAGAGAATAACAATTCGTATTTATTCGTGTCTACATTAGGTATGGGCTGGTTCCTCATTATTTCGACTTCTCATGCGACGTCACAATAATTAATTTTCTATTTAATATAAAAGTTCTTTTTTATAGGCTGTCAGATGTAAGTATGAAATATTTTTTGTAAAGACTAACCCCGGGCAAATAATATACATAAGGGATAAAATTTTTTAATTGTGTATTACATATATGTATAATAAGTTCTTCATATCTCAATGCATCTTTTTATGTGACGCAATCCAGTTGCTCGCATTTTACAAGGCACGCGGTATCTGATCGAACCTTCTTTTCTGATGCAAATAAATGGAAAAGTTTTAGTACTGTTGATAAAACAAATTTACGATAAGCTCTGCTTGCTTCGTATCGATCAATAAATGTGACGTATGATCGTTAAAGTGACATCGACCGAATTGATTCGATTCCATAAATACCTGATTTTATTCATTTTCTATGTATATATAACGCGAAAAACATCTATATCATACTGAATATCGAAGTTTCTTGTATGATTCACTGAATCAATCTAAGACGGATATCAGTGTTAAAAGTAAGGTAATGCCTGTACAAGAAATAATTACACGCACAAAAAATAAAGTCATTAGTTGTCAATTGATTCATAAATTATGTTTCTCATAACGATCACGTTGAAAATAAATAGTAACCCTATTAAATTAACTGTACGCTTTACCGTAATTTCTATCTCTTTTCTTCTCTATCTATTTCTCTTCTTTTCTGTCTCTATCTCTATATCTTATAAAACACGATTTTTTCTGTGTAACTGACTTTTTATACTTATGAGAAACTTGAAAACGGATGCATCGGTGTTAGTGCGGTTTTCATTAAAACAATCCTTTAAATTCTAACTGGCTTTAGGCAAAAAGAAAAAAAAAATATTAGAAATTACAGTTATTTCCGAAGATAGAACGACATAATTGAACTTATCCAGCGAAAAATGCAGCGCGTGGCACGAAATCTGCGGATGCCTTTAGGCAAAGTAAAAAGGATAATCCAGACTATCCGGAAGATTGAGCGATATAATTGTTGCTATTCAAAGAGTTTATTATGTCCACTTTGTTAGAATAATAAAATTTTGCTATCACTAAAGACTTTTGATAATACAATTTTTTCTAATACACAGTACGATGAAAACAAAAACACAAACATAATACCGAGCGACGCCGTAAGCGTCGCGAGGAAACGCACAAGCTAGTAACTTATATTCAAAATATTCCTAACGCTATACAGCTGTATCAAGCGGAAACTACAGAACCACTTAAACCTTTAATACAGCAATCAAAATATTCTTTCATTACGGAAATTATTTTTCCTATCAATAATTTGAGCTAATATTTCAGCTATATACGCTATCGATGCTAGTGATGTTTATAGCAGATAATTCATAGAAAAAAAAAATCTTTCTTACGAACGAGATATCTATACACATATTTTCCCTATACTGTTATAACTTGATTGACTTTACTACGAAGGGAAAAGTTATGAGAAGAAACACCCTTTGAGGATAAAATGCTTTTTCTACTATATTGTTTTTGTTCCATATAGTATACTACAGCGCTAACACGTGGTACGAACGTACGCGGATACCTTTTCGAAAGCATAACACGCCAACCATTCATTTGTCCATTCATACTCCCATTTAGCTCTTCATTGACAGGTATATTGAAGTATAGTACATACAGATACGCTCAAATGAATCACTAAACCACCATTCGATATTGACTACAAACATTAACGCGTAGCACAACAGTGACTCGGTTAATGAGCATAAAAGTATAATTCTAAAAAAAAAAGAAATTATCAATGAAAAAATCACACAGGAAAATACCTATGAATTTCTCGTGAGAAGTAGGAGTGGCAGGTATCGACGTTCGAATTTTGGTTAAAGCTACGAAATAAAATGGCAAACACGGTCGTAGATATCCAAACCCATAA